TAGACATACAGGAGTATTTTGAACTGGATTCGAAGGTGAACCGGTAGCCAGTGCAGTGAGGCCAAAACTGGTGTAATGTGCTCTCTTTTGCCTGTACTGGTTAAAATTGGGCTGCTGCATTCTGGACCAGTTGTAGTCGTGCAATGGAGGTCTGACTGATACCAAACAGGAGTGAATTGCAGTAATCAAGCCTAGATGTAACGAACGCATGTATTACTGTCTCCAGGTTATTTTTGGACAATATGGGCTTCAGTTTAGACAGCTGCCTCAGTTGGAAAAACCATGATTTAACAATCATGTTTACATGATTGTTAAGTTTCAGGGAAGGGTCCATTATCACACCCAGATTAGTGACTCTTTGTTTTTCTGAAAGGGTTAGAGTAGAAAGGTCGATGCAGTGGTTTGTGATCGTGTCATTGGGAGGGAACAACATGACATCAGACTTCTTTTCATTGAAACTTAAGAAGTTTCAAGCCATCCAGTCCCTGATGTCAGCCAGGCAGTCGAGCAGAGGTTGAATAGAGCATGTACCATTGTGTCTTGGGGGAAGTAAATTTGAAAGTCATCGGCGTAGAAGTGAAATGGTATGTTGTGTTTTTGGAAAATAGCACCAAGTGGCAGCAGGTATAGAGAGAATAGGAGGGGACCCAGGATGGACCCCTGCGGAACCCCCCATTTAAGCTCTGTCGCTGCAGAACTAAAATCGTTGATGGAGACACAAAAGGATCGGTCAGTGAGGTAGGATCTGAACCAATTGAGGGCTGACCCTGTGATGCCCACCCAGTGCTCCAACCTAGCAATGAGGATCTCATGGTCGATGGTGTCAAAGGCGGCTGTGAGGTCCAACAGGACAAGCAGCACAGAATCACCAGTATCTGTGGATCTGAAGATGTCATTAAAAGCCTTCAATAGGGCAGTTTCAGTGCTGTGGAGAGTTTTAAAGCCAGATTGGAATAGCTCTAAGATGGCGTGGCCCTCCAGGAAGCACTTCAACTGGGACTCAACTGTTTTCTTCAGTATTTTAGAAACAAATGGGAGTTTGGAGACAGGCCGGAAGTTGGAAATGACTGAGGGGTCAAGGTTTGTTTTTTTCAGGAGAGGCTGGACAGCAGCATGTTTAAAGATTTTTGGCACCACACCAGTGAATAAACTACTGTTTACTATAGCCAGAATGGACGGACCTAGAGTAGGAAAATCCTCCTTTAGTAGTCGAGGTGGGACCACATCAAAGGGGGAACTGGAAGGTTTCAAGCTGCACATGACCTGCTCTAGAGAAGAGAGTGATGGGTTCAAAATGGTCAAATAGAGCTACAGATTGAAGTGGGATGGATGCGTCATGAGTTGGAGGGAAATGAGAGCCCTGGTGGTCGCAATTTTTTCCAAAAAGAAATGTAAAAAGTTCAGCGCAGCTCAGTCGAGGCTTCCAGAGATGATGGTTCAGTGAGGTGGAGAACAGAGTTTAGGGTAGAGAAGAGGACACGTGGGTTGTGAGAGTTTGAGGTTATGATATCAGAAAAATATTTGGATTTAGCAGCTTTTACAGCTTTCTGAAAACGGCGCCAACTCTCTTTAAGTATTTGAAAAGAGATCTGCAGCCTGTCTTCCCTCCATTTGCACTCCGCCCTCCTGCACTGCTGCCTAATGGCCTTGGTGACGTCACTCAGCCACGGTTCTGCTCTGAGTTTTGATTTTCTAGTTTTAACAGGAGCGACATGATCCAGAGTCTTTAAGCAGACAGAGTTGAACTGGGATGTCAGCGCCTCCGTGGTAGTGAGAAACACCGGGGGCTGAATGATCATTTCAGAGTTATAAGCATCTGTGAAACGTGCAGCAGTGAAATGGTTAATGGCCCGGCTACTACGTGCAGGAATGCACGGCTTAGGAGTTAGATGGGGGAGGGTGAACTCGAACTGAACTGGCATGTGGTCTGAAAAAAACATTATCACCAATTTCAAGATTACTAACAGTCACATCACGTGTTGAAACAAGGTCCAGTGTATGTCCGTGCTCTTGGGTGGAACCGTTTACATGCTGAGTTAGATTAAATGAGTCCAATAAATCTAAAAAGTCATTAACCAAGGGCTTCTCCTGACAGCACACATGCAAATTAAAGTCCCCAATAATGAAAACATGATTATATTTTGGTGTGATTTCAGCCAAGAAATCAGAAAACTAATTTATGAAATCCTTAGATCGAGGCGGGCGGTAGATGAGTGCGCATAAAGTCGAAGGCGAATGGCCGAGTTCAAAGACGCTCCGCTCAAAGCTGGCGCGGGAAACTGGGATGGGCAGTTGTTTACAGTCAAAAGTTGGTTTGAATATTGTTAATAATCCACCACCGCGCAGGCCTGATGGCCGCGGTGCGTTAATATACAGACAGTTCGGTGGCAATATTTCCGTCAAGGCGCTGGACTCACCCGGAGACATCCAAGTCTCTGTGATGCAGAAAAAGTCCAACTTGTGCTCTTGAAAGTAGTCCCTGAGGATAAAAGTTTTGTTGGTAATAGATCTTGCATTGACCAAACACATCCGGATACTGTCCAAAGTGGATCCAGCAGCAGTGAAGTTTGCGCACGTCAATGGCTGCAGGTTTTCAATAACAGCCCCTCCCTTGTTTACCTGGTCCGGGCACGCGAAAAGCTGGCGATGGAAACCATGACCACCAGCTGAAGAGGAAGATGCAGCGTGCAGGGCTTTAAGCTTTACCAGCCGCCCAGCACGTTTTCCCTGGCGTCTGTAGCGATGTCTCCGGGCAGGGAGGTGAGGAGCGCAGCGGAGGTAAACTGGCACGTTCGCCAGAAGGGGGCGTGTCCAGTGGTACGTTCATATTGGTCCAAATAAGCGACATCGGTGGCAGAAAAATGAAGATCCAGAAGCTGCTGTTGGTCATACACCAGCAGCGAGTTTATGTCCCAGATAAAAAACGAATAAAACACAAATAATCTGAACACCATCAGCAGAGGTGGATTGCAAGCCATGTACACGGGCGCCATCTTACTGGAAGTCCTTTATCGTATCTGGCTACGATAAAGCCCTTCCCAGCAGCTGGAAACAGTAATCCACGCCTTCGTCACCTCTCGGCTGGATTACTGCAACGCTCTTTACCTTGGAGTCAGCCAGTCCTCCCTCAGACGTCTCCACTTGGTCCAGAACGTTGCTGCTTAGCTTCTAACTGGAGTTCATAGAGGGAGCACATCACCCCCACTCACACCCCCCCAATTCAATTCTATTCAGTTTATTTATATAGCGCCAATTCAAAACAAAGTCGTCTCAGGGCACTTTACAGGAACATTCATATACATAGAAAATCCAATTAGTAAAGTTCTCTATCTAAGGAAGCAGCAGACTC